ATTACCTTTAATTTTAAAGAACTTAAATTAAAGTCGGGAAAGCTCATTGCCCACCACTTAGAAATCAACATTTTCCCGGGAAGAACTCCAACCTCCCTTTCTTTGGGTTCATTGATTCATTATAATAATTTTCAAGAGGGGAAAATCTTAAATTTTGAAGAAATTAAAAGTGATTAAAAGACACCTCAGAAGTCGGGAAAGCTCATTTTCCACCTTCTAGGAATCAAAATTTTCCTGGGGGAGAACCCCCGGACCCCTTTCTTTTTGGGATTTATCGATCGATTTATCGAAAAAAAATCGTATGCAACTACTCAATTTTTTGTGTAGGCCTATACACACATAAGGCCTATCTACTGTAATAAAAATGGGAAAAATTTACCTGACCGTTTTGAAGAGGGGAAAACCTTGCATTTTGAAGAACTTTTAAAGTCACTAACAGATACTTCAGAAGCGGGAAAGCTCATGTCCAACCATTTAGAAATCAACATTTTCCCGGGAAGAACCTGAACCTCCCTTTTCTCTTTGGGTTCACTGATTCACTATAATAATTTTCAAGAGGGGAAAACCTTGAAATTTTGAAGAATTTAAAGTAATTAAAAGACACCTCAGAAGTCGGGAAAACTCATTTCCCGCCTTCTAGGAATCACAATTTTTTGGGATTCATCGAAAATTCGTATGCAACAACTCATTTGTTTAAAATTGTTATGTATGTATACACACATAAGGTCTATTTACTGAATAACAATGTAAAAAATTACCTGACCGTTTTCAAGAGAGAAAAACCTTGAATTTTGAAGAACTTAAAAGTAATTAAAAGACACCCGAGAAGTCGGGAAAGCTCATTTCCCGCCTTCTAGGAATCAACATTTTCCCGGGGGAGGACCCCCACCCCCCTTTCTTTTTGGGATTCATCGATTCATGGAAAATTCGTATGCAATTACTCATTTTTTTTTAATGTTATGTGTGTATACACACATAAGGCCTTTACTGTAATAACAATTGGAACAAATTACCTGACCGTTTTCAAGAGGGGAAAACCTTGAATTTTGAAAAACTTAAAAGTAATTAAGACACCTCAGGAGTCGGGGAAAAGCTCATTTTCCGCCATATAGGAATCAAAATTTTCCAGGGGAAGAACCCCCGGACCCCCCTTTTCTTTGGAGTTTATCGATTCATTTCTTAAGGTATACACACATAAGAGGCCTATTTAATGTAATGAGAAAGTTTACCTTACCGTTTTCAAGAGGGGGAAAACCTTGAATTTTGAAAAACAAAGTCATTAGACACCTAGCTCAAAAGTCGAGAAAGGTCATTTCCAGCCATCTAGAAATCTAAATTTTCCCCGGTGAGGAATGTTGACCCCACCACCTAGGTTTAATTCCAGATCTGCATGATTCATATTCCCATTCATTTTATAAGTGCCCCCCCCCCACTTTCAAAAACGTTCCGCCGGCCCTGAAACATAGCCTATTGTTTCTAATCATGCTTGCATGAAATTCTCACTTTATACTATCTGGCTTTTTCAACCCTCACTCACTAGCCACTGAGGAAGGACTAGTGTTGTCCGAAAGCTCTGGTTCTATTTCTGGCTGTTTACTTACGTTTACTTTTTAGCTGTTGCTTATCATTTTGTATCTCTACCGAGATCCAGCCATTGTTTCCCACAGCATTGTTGTTTTTCAGTATTTTGCCTTTTAATCTATATATATATATATATATATATATATATATATTGAATATAATATATATTGAATATAGCATATATTGTAGGGTTCTTGATTCCCTGACACCACCAACTTTCTACCGTCCGGAAAATTGGCCATTCCAATCACTCTACCCTTCCCAGTCGGAAAGATTAGACCTGGTACCGTCGACACCACTGGGTACACAGTAACAGTATTGAGAATAGTGTTGCTTCCATTTTAGGTGGAGAAAGGCGCTATATTTAAACAACCATTAAATTTAACATTTGGTATAATTTAGCATAATTTCCCATCATCCCTTGGCATAATTTGATTTGCATCACTGGTCACAAAGAAAAGTATAGGCCTGGCCTAGCATTCAATTAAGTATTGCGAACGCATAAACGCTACCAGTATTTTAATGATGGGACCGGTAGTTCGAATGGAGGGATTTGTCTTGCTTAAACAGCTTACCACCTCCCCATGCTACAATGTAGCTTGCAACAATAGAAATCCTGATCATTTTACTTGTAAATACTTGCATAATTCTGAAAATG